TCCTTTGTGCCCACAGGAGCTTGTCCAGCAGAACAGTGTCAATTGTTTCCAGTGACACCTTTGTGCTTCCTTTGTGCTTTCAGTTGTGTTTTCTGCTGGACCACACTCCAAAGCCTGCTCAGATAATTTGCTTTCAACTCATATGATGGATAAAACATTGCCAGATGAGTTTTTCCTCACTCTGGGTTTTACAAACTGGGCATGCACATGAAAGTCAGCCAAAAGAAGTGACATGGTCCCTGTGGTAGATTTTTATCATCAAATATTGCCAGGTCCCACAGCAATCAGCTCCTTCTGGTGTGTCTTGATGTATTGAAATTTGCCTGGGCCGAAATCATAACATCAGATTTCTAAATGCACATTGTTTGTATGTGCATTACCTTATAAATCAGTTTTATTTTGTTCTTGATGTCTTCCTGCTGAAAAACACAAAGAAAGCACTCAATAAATGAAATTGCATCTGTCTGATTCCAAAAATCTGAGTAATACTAGAGATCTTCAGCTTGAATATATCTACTTCTGGTAGAAAGGTTTGTCAGGCTTCTTTCCCCAATAAATTCTGACTGTTATTTTAGCACAGATAATACTCTCAAAATAGGATTGCTAGAAAAATCCAGTAGATCAGGATGACAAACCCAATGTACTTCAAGAAATCATTTTTTTTACCTAGCAAAAACAAATATCCAGTGCAGTGCATGTCATCCAAAAGGCAAGAGGAAGGAATTGTGTCTCATGAAGGAAAAAAAATCTACTCTCAGCAAGCCCATACATTCCTTACTGGCATCACTTGCCTTTGTAAATTTGGACTTGGAGGATCATAAAACCCTGATCTGTGTAGAGTGAATTTTGTAATGAGAACAGCATTCAAATTCTGAATATCTTCACCAGTGTGTGTAATAATATATCAGCTTGTAATGTTTAAATGTCTTAGTAAGAAATAAGAGAAGGAGGATTAGCTACTAAATTTGCCAGAAATGTATTCCAAGTAAATACCAGGAGAGAAAGGGGGAAAAAAATATTGAATTTGGTGTTTTCCCACAGCAAATGTGCAGTGAGCTCTATCAGATTTACAAGTTACTCTTCTGTTCTGGGAGCAGAACTGTTAATCTCATGAAGGCAGGAGATTAGGTGGCACAGAAGCGTTTTCTGAGCAACTTCAGGCACACATTTGAGGACATTCTGCAGTGCTGTGTTTCTTTTTTTCAGTAAATTTTTGTTCTGAAGTCACTTAATATTTATTTCATACTTCTCATCGTGTGAGTATATTAAGATCATAGTAAGCTGGGAATTCTTCCATCATAAAAGTTACAACTCCCTTTATTAGCATATTTTTCAGTGTGTTAGTTATTTGAAACTGTTTTTTGAAGGAAGAAGAATTCTGTGGCATCTCAAAATTTGTCCAAAATCCAGATTTTACAACCTTAATTTTCTTACAACATTTTTTTCTTAGTTTAGGAAGAAAAGGGTCAGTGTCATATAAGTTCTGAGATGTCATTAGACTAAATGCCCTTCAAACTGAAGGCTAAATGTGAAAGAGGCAAACCAGAGTGCAGAATCCTAGTGTGCATGTTTCCCATTTCGAGATAAAGACGTTTTCTGGTGAAAATACACTCACTTCAGCTGGAATGGAAGGGCTCTGTTGTTCTGTTTTCCACTTATCTGCTCTCAGAGCACAATGAGGCTGTGCAAGGATGAGTGATTTAGCCTCAGTTGGAGATGATAAAGGCAAAAAGGGCTCTTGTTATTATCCTTTTAAATCATTTCTGTAACTGGGCTGGAGAGCTAATGCAGGACAGAAATTGATGGTAGGCAAAATTCATTACTTGCTGAGTGTGTTTTCTGAGAACTGTGTGGTCAGAGAGGGTAAACTGGGCCTGGGTTCCTCTTGAAGAATATAATGCACCTTCTGATCTCAGTGCTGATCATGGAATATAAGAGCAGTTTAATTTATAAAATTCTAACCCAGCAATTTTTGAGTCCAAATGTGAAATTTTGAGGAGCACCGAGAGAAGAACTATCTGTAAAAATATGTTAGTACTAAGTAGAAAAAGAAGTGGCAAAAAGAGGAACATGAGGTAATACTCAAGCCACTCTGCTTGAAGTTTACTGATTAAACATGTGATAAACCTAGAAATAATTATGTAGAATAATACTAAATAACCTAGAAAAAATTATCTCAAAAACTCCTCTTGCATCTCTTACACGGCTGGACCACAGATATTTGCTCATGGTTATTCTCCCTGGGCAGTGGATTTCCTGTTTAGCTACAGCTTTGAATGCAATCTTGAGATTGGTAAAACCTTTCTAAAATGTTGTATTTTCCAGAGTGGTCATTTTTCCTACCTTTTTTTCCTTTGCTACCTTTCCTTCATTTATACACTCCATGGACTGACAGACTCTTGGACAGCTCATGTGCTTTCAATGGTTTTGGTACAGCACCTCCTGCATTTTGAGTGTTTGGGGTTAAGATTTCAATATGCAGAGCAAGTAACCCACAAACAATATTAATGTGTGTAATAAAAATGTAAAGAAAATACTTCAAATGCCTTGACATTTGTGGAGGTACAGAAAGACTCCATCATGACTCTGATTCATTCTAGCAAAATTACCCCTTGTGCCAATTTCTGCCAATCTAATAATTATTCTCTCCTGAGATGTTTTTTATTGGGTATTTTGCTAGTTTAAGGAACTGGGAAAGCCATTGGGTAAATTAGATTTGAACATGTGCTTCTAAAATCAAATTTTTGCTTTAAGGGGGGAAAAAACCCCAAACTGATACGTGCTCTGTTTCCCTGATTTCTGGCTGTTCCAAGACAAATCATGTGCTTGGAATATATTATTTCTTTATTTTTTTATACTTAAGATTGTAGTCAGACCAGCCTGTAAATTGCACTTGCTAGCTCTTCTTTACATACCTTGGTTTATACAAACTGCTCATTTCTGAGGAAGTTGCTGAAGTAGCTTTTCCAGAAGTGCTATACTGACAGAAAAGAGCAGATCTCACATGGACAATGGGCAGAGAGCATCTTGAAAAAAAATAAATACCTTATTGAAATATTTTAAGAATGTTGTGCTTGCACAAGTGAAGCATGGGAAAATGTGGCTTTTAGCTTTTGAAAACATCCTCAGATTTTACTGCAAGTGCCATTTTTCAATTTAATAGCTATGTGACATGCATTTGACACATCTCTCCTGCAATATAGAATGTCTTCCCATCTTTATTTTCTGGGAAATGTGTCTCTGCACTGGAGTCATATTTAAGACAGATGCGACAGAACCTGTATTTTTGTATAGTTTTGCACATATAAGGATTAAAAAAAAACTTCCTTAAATTCCTTCTGTTGAGGATCACTTGGTGTGAGCTATTCTCCTTAAGAATGAAAGAAGTTTCTTTTCCACAGGTGGAATTGAAAGCAGTTTCTCCTGCAGAGAGGGATTTGCACCCTTTGGAGGAAGCTCAGCAGCAGTGTCTGGGCTCAGTTTGGAGGAGAGCCTTGAATCCACAGCAGTGGGTTTGAATTTGGCTGTTCCTGTGTCTGTTTCTAGGTGCCAGTGTTATATTTGGCTAAGTTGCCTGCAGGTCTGAGGGCTTCCACTGCAGGGAATTGGCTTGTTCACCCTGAATTTCTCTTTCTTCCACTGCAGGGAATTGGCTTGTTCACCCTGAATTTCTTCCACTGCAGTGAATTGGCTTGTTCACCCTGAAATTCCCCGTTTCCACTGCAGTGAATTGGCACAGCACAGGGATAAATCTGTCACTGTACCTAAAGAAACAACAAGTGGCTGTTGGCTGCGTGATCATTTCCAGTGCTGTAATCTTAATATTGTCCACACAGTAATGGTTTTTTCACAGTAGAAAATGAGAGGATCACAGAATGGTTTGGGATGGGGGGGATCTTAAACCCATCCCACCCCCCAGCCATGGGTGGAGACACCTTCCCCTGTCCCAGGTTGCCCCAATATCCAACCTGGGCACTTCCAGGGATCCAGGGCAGCCCCAGCTGCTCTGGGGAATCTGTGCCAGGGTGTCACTATTCCAGAGTAATGGATGTACGCTCACTGAGTAGTGGGAACAGCAGCTGTAGCTGTGGGGAATCCAACCAAAAGCAGGAGCAGTTGTGCAGCAGCAGGACTCATCTGGGATGAGACCACCCCTGTTCTTTGAGGAAAATTCTGTATTTGTGCCTTAAGCTCAGCAAATTGTCATCTCATTAAATCTGTCTTCTTCTTTAGGCTCTGTAGTCTCTATTTCAGATGTTGCTTTGCAATATCTGCTGGATTAGACCAGAATCACAGAAATGTTAAGGCTGGAAAAGACCTTTATTGTCATCCAGTCCAGAACCACCCTGTTCACCACTAAACCATGTCCTCAGGTGACACATCCACTTGTTTTTTGAACAATTCCAACATCCTAGTGGTGAGATGGTTGAACACTCCTACCACTGCCCTGGGCATTCTGTTCCATTGCTTTACAACCATTTCCATTAAGAGAGATTTTTCTTAATATCTAATCTAAACCTCAGAACTCCCAATTTCCTTACAGCCAAGGCAGCCGATGTAAAATATCTCCTCACACATCACTGGGTGGGATGAGACCAGACAGGTTTTAACAGGAGTTGGGGTAACACCATCTGTTAGAGAAGCTCCTGAATGGCATTGTTTATAGAAAGTGTTCATTGGGTATGTGCAGGATCTACTGAGTCTGTTCACTAATATTTTTTTGTGTGTTTGAAGTTCTTGAGATCTTTTATTTTTAGCGAGGAATGAATGTGATTGCAATTTTTTTTAATGGCCTTTAAAAAAGTTGAGTAAACAACATATGTAATTACTCTGTAGGGAAATATGGCTTAATTAAATCATGAAGTCATTCTATTAGCATATGCACCTGCTGCTTATGTGGTTCATTTCTTCCAGAAATAACCAAATTAATGAATAGAAATTGTTCTATAGTTCAGCTACCTGCAACGTGTGCGTCAGTGGTTTGTCTTGTCCTCCTGCAGGTGATTCATTGTTGGCCACTCACATGCAGGATGGAGCTCTGGGAAAGGACACAGGTTTGTCTTGGCTCTGTAAAATCCCCCAAAGCCAGCACAATTTTCACAGCCATTATCTGTGGGGGGAACCTTCTCACCAGGTGGGACACAAAGAATTTGCAGTTTGCTCATGCACTGTGCCATCACCAAAAAGAGCTTATGGGAAGAGCTTGCAAATGCTTGGAAAAGTTGTGGCTGTGTGTAGGATTAAGTTTTCTTATTATCTAGGGCATGCCATGTATTCTGATTATCTTAATTATAATGTCTCAGGCAAAACACTCCTGGGAAAAAATTGGAATGTGATGGAATCACAGAATATTCTGAGTTGGAAGGACCTGCAGGGAAAATCAAGTCCAGCTCTTAAATGAATTATCCTTCCAGGGACTGAACCCACAGCCTTGGTGTAACCAATCCTGCTCTAAAACATCCCAGAATGAGCCCAAATTTACCCGAAAAAGAATTAGACATTGTAACATGATGGGATTTAATTCACATCACCTACTCTTGGATGTTTATTTTTTCCTTTGTAATTTTGAAGTGAATGTAAAATACACAGAAGGGAGGAGACAAGAGCAAATGGAGTTTTCCTTTCTTCCAAGCCATGCAGGGCTGGGGGTATTTGCTTTAACTGTGGCTCTGTATCCTCAGAAGAGCCTTAAATAAAGTGTAAGAGGTAGGGTCAGTATGAAGTGATCCCTCTGCAGTGCTTATTTCCAGTTTCTGGCCAGCAGAGCTGTGGAGGTTCTGGTGCATTTAGAGCCCTGGATTTAATAGCTGTCAGTATTTCATCCTTCTCCAGTTAAGTGCACAAACTTTTCACAGAAGGTCTTGCTCTTTATTTATTGCTTTATCTTTGTTTTTTATACCAAGGTGCTTGGAGGATTGTAGAGAGTTTGACTCAGTTGTTTCCTACAGATTTCTACAAGAAAACACAGACAAAGCCCAGCATGTGTGAGGTCCTGGTTCTGGTAAATACTGTTCATATAGTGTTTATTAGGTTTGTGCATTTTCTAGGGATTTTATTTTGTATTTTCTAGGTTTGCCAAGCCACCAGTATTCCAAAGTCACCCTCAAAATTTACATTATCAATTTGCATTATTGCATTCCTTGTGTCACCTCTTCCATTTGGGAAATGGAGCTCTATGCTGTTGTGATTGCAGCAGTGACAGCCAGCAGTGAAGAATAAATTGTTTACCTTCTGTGGGGGGTGCAGTGTAGGTGTGTTGCAGACATCATTGGGGAATCTATCTAATGTAAAAGTGACTCATATCCCAGCAGCCACCCCAGAAGGAGATTAATTCTTTATTCCTGGCCTGCAGTAAAGGCCACAGAACATATTAGCTCCCTAATCATTTCAGGCTGTCTTTAACACGTCCTTGGTTTGTAAAACCCTACACAGCTTTGCTGTGGATTCTTCAAATATTGGCTCTTTCCAAGTGTTCTACTAAAACAACTGAAATTTTCTGATACACTGAGGATTTCCTTTTGATACTGGTCATAGGGACTCAGGCATTTCTGTGGATTCTCCTCTAGAATTTGGCTTTCAGCACAGCTCAGGCAAAGCCACAGACCTGACCTTTTAATGAGTGTTCTGAATCCTGATTTTTTTTCTTCTGTTTCCTGGTGTTCCAAAGTATGTGGAGTAAAAGTTGGAATGCTGGCATGGATTATTTCTTTGCAGAGCATGCACTTTGCTGTTGGGGTTTGAGAAAATTCCAGAGTGTCTGGAGATGTTTGTAGCTTGTGCAGGGTCGGTGGGAGATATTAAAAAGGCAATCTATGGGTTTGTGAATTGTGTATTCAAATCAATCAATTCCAAGATACTGCTTAAGCTCTCTGAAAAGCTATTTCAGGTTAGATTTTCTTCATGAGCAGCACACCAATTCTGCTCAAATACATGTTAGCTGATAAAAAATTCAATCTGCAAGGGAGGAGAGAACATTGAAAATGCCCTTCCATTAAAAATGAAAGACTTAAGTTTTGAGAAAGTTAAGAAATATATGCACTTTAGAAAACTAAGGTCCTAATTTTCCAGTGCATATATTTAACACAACCTCATCTATTTACCAGTCAGTTTATTGTTGAGTGTTACAAAAGCCATATTAAATGACTTTAGTCACCCTTTACATGGCTCCATACTGCAAAATGTGTGAGCACAATCTTCCTTTAGAGTTGTCATTGGACATTGCATAACCCTCCTTATCTGTTTTTCAGAGCCCTTTCTTTTCTGCTCCACATTTCTGTATGAGAGGAAGAAATCTGGAAGAGCTGCTGAAATTACTGGAATTGGTTGCTGCCTGCAGTGAAACCCTCACATTCCAGGTAACCTCTAAAGTCCAGAAGGAAATAGGACATTACCCTGTGTCCGATCCTTCTTCCCCTGTCCCTCTTCAGCGCCTGAGTTATGTGGGAGGGAGGAAGCCATAACTTTCAGGAGAAGTGTTCTGGAGAGCAAGAGATGGCATTCCCTGGGGACTCCAACAAAACTGTCACATGTGCTGCCAAAATGGGTTAGAGCCTCTGAAAATGTGTCTGAAACTTGTGTCAGCTCAGGCTGCAGCCTGGACAAGAGGAAAAAGCAATGGGAAGGTGTGTAAATGAGATGATTGGGGGGAAACTTTTTCTTCTTCAGAATAATTGCTGCTAGCACATGATTCAGATCTCCCCCATTACCTTGAGATGGACAAATAAATGGAGGAATGCCTTACTCCAAAAATGCTGTCCAAACTAAACTTTTTCTAGTTAGGTGGCCTCACAGTGACTCAGCCTATAGTTTAGGAAAACAATGGATTCCCAGTGCCAGAGGGCAGGGCTGGATGGGATATTGGGAATTAGGGATTGTTCCCTGGCAGGGTGGGCAGGCCCTGGCACAGGGTGCCCAGAGCAGCTGTGGCTGTCCCTGGATCCCTGGCAGTGCCCAAGGCCAGGCTGGAGCAACTTGGTACAGTGGAAGGTGTCCCTGCCATGGCAGAGGTGGAACTGGATGGGATTTAAGATCTCTTCCAACCCAAACCATTGCAGAATTCTGTGGCATTTAACAACTGTGTTTGCTTTACACTGAGGACCCTCTAAGTCCAAACTTTAGATGCACAAGTGAGTTAAATTATTCCCTTTTGAAAGACTGAGGCATGTCATTGTTTCATTGTTGTGTGGCCTTAAGAAGGGCAATAAAGTTTCTAGAAAAAGGAGTGAAATAAAATTTATTATACAAATTTGTAGTATTCCAACACTGAAGAGGTGTCATGAACAAAAATAATTGAGGCAGCAAAGAGGGACAAGGAGAAATCTGTTTAGTGGGAAGAAAATAACTACTAAACTTTTTAATAGTACACTTTACTCATCAGCAAAGTGCAGCTGAAGATGATGCTTTGCTGCTGAAGTGGAATATGTCAGAAAAAGCTCTAACTTGATTTGAAACACCAATGCAGGAGCTTTCCTGTGCTTTGTGCTACTTTGTACGGGCCCTGGTGCCCAGTCTGGTGTGTCTGATGGGACCTGGGTGATCCCAAACAGGTTTGTGCTGTGCTCTCTGCTTTTCCATGAGCTCCATCCCCATTTCCAGGGCTTCCCATTGTTGGGCAGCATGGATGAGCTGGTGTGTGTGGGGTCTCCTTCCCCAGCTGACATCTCAGTGCTGGAATTGCCACAGGTAGGGAATGTCAGCATTCAGCATCCTGCCTGCTGCTGATGGCCAGGCTGACATTTACATGTTTGCTCACTGGCCAGGTCACTCATTTATCCAGAGGAAAAAAGGGAATTCTTTAAAGCTGCAAGTCATGCTGCAGCTTACCATTTTCTTTCTTGTCTACAATTTTCTTTCTCATCTACAATTTTCTTTCTTGTCTACAATTTTTCACCAAAAGGACTGTAATGGAAAGTTTCACAAACTGGGTCCCTCTTTTTGCTGTACCCTCCATACACCTGAACCCTTTCCTGGAGGATTTTATTCAGTCACAAGATTTTATTATCATTCCTTTCCTTTCCTTTCTAGCCTTCTGATGAAATCCTTTCTTCTATTCTTTAGTATAGTTTTAATATAGCATTTTCTTTTAATATAATATATATAATAAAATAATAAATCTGAAACGTGGAGTCAAGATTCTCATCTCTTCCCTCATCCTGAGACCCATGCGAACACAACCACAAATGTTCATTAATTTTTTCTGAGGTTCTCAGGTGTTATGACCATGGCAGCTTATAGAAATATTTTCTTTCAGCTCAGGTAACTTGATGAATGCCCTGTGATGGCTACTCCCAAACGAAAACACAGGGACAAGTATGGGTGTTCTGAAAGAACATGGCAACAGAAATGAGGTAAGAGATCATCACTTGTGATATGTGGTTATCATAAATGACTAAACAGCTCTGCACATGTTAAATTCTGTTAAATTTCTCCTGATGTTGTTACTGTGACCACACTGAAATAGCTGTGTGTCAAAGGAAGGAATGCTCAAGCAGACACTCAAATGGCAGAGATTGCTGTCCAGAGGGAGGAAGGAGGCATCCACTATGCAAACACTGGGCATCCACACAGGGAAAAGTCTCTCCCCCTACCCTTGGCTTTGGCAGCTGGGATGCTCTGAGACAGTGCAAGGTGCCTGTGCCAAGGTGCTGAACCTACTGAGTCAAGAAATGTATTCTGGTTTGTGTGATCTTATGTCCTCTAAATGCATCTTCTCCTCCACCAGGAGGAAGCTGAATCATCAGCCTGGAGCCAAGAATTCACCCCAAACACAGGGGATTTTGGTTATATTTGACATTTACTGCCTGTTGTGAGGGCTCTCTGGGCAGTCCTTGCCTTCAGCCTTTCAGCAGATTTGCCTTTTTAAGGGTCCTTGGCTGCATTAGATTTTATTCTTTGTCATTATGAAATTGCGGGTTCAATCTGAAATATTTTGGGTGGCACATTTATTCTTGTGTTACAGACCAGTTTTATTAATGTATTTTCTGCCTCATTGTATGGCTAATCCTCACCTGTGACTTTAGACATCTGGGGGCATAGAGCAATTCTGCACAGCCCCTTTCATCTGCAGCATACCTGAACAATGTGAAAATGTGTTCTTTTTCTCCAGCCCCTGCTTCTTGTTTCGTTTCACTTTGTAAAAAACAGGGGAAGAGCAGCTTTTCCCTCTCTTTGCTTAAGAAAGCTGCCCTAGGCAAGGCTTTAGTGCTGAAACTGACTGATACACAGGTTCAATGCTTTATAATTTTTGCAAGAATAAATTGTTACCATGCTCCAAATGGCATTAATTAGAGCTGTGCAATGCTGAAATGATTCTTTCTTCTTCCTCTCTGTGCTCTGGAAGTTACAGTAGAAGGAAAGTTACCCTTAGTTCCTGTTTGGTGATGATGGTGCTTTCTCTCCAAAGCAGAGATTGGATGGTTTGTCCTGGTATTTTCATCCCCTTGTGTGCCTGTCTCAGGTTTGGGATGTGCTGAACTAAAAGCTGGGAGCCAGGCAGTTTCTGTCATTGCTGTGACAGGTTTCATAACACTGGGGACAAACTTGGCTGTGAGTTTTTCTTTTCAAACCACACATCTCTATTAATTTGCCATGCAGGAAGCAGGGGGTATTTTATAGTCATTTATAGACTGAATTTCCCCATGCTGGAGACTGCTTTGTGGAATTTGCTGTTAAACTGCCTGCAATAGAAGGCCACTGCTGCTATTTGGGAAAGCTTTAAACTCCAGCCCACAGAGTTACAAAAGTGCAGGTTTCCCTGTGGCTCTGTCAGCCTCTCATCCAAAGAGGGAGCCCAGCACATCTTGCCCCAGTGCCACTGGAAGTGAAAAGCAATGTACAAGCAGTAAAAGCAGCAGGATGTTACTCCTGGAGCAGAGATCCAAGCTCACCTCTGGTAATTGGTTTAAGTTCCTTCCAGTTATTTCAGCTGAGCAAGAGGCTGCAGGGAAGTGTGTTCTCTGCATGCAGAGAACTTCAAAACCTGCAATGAGGCTGAGCATTACATCTTAGTTCAGATCATTCACACAACCTGCTCACCTTTTTTACTCTAACATAAGTATTTCAAGCCTTCTGTCAATATTAGGTGACTCTGTACAGAATATGCTGTCAGATTTTCCCTCACTGTAGATATTCAAGGATCCCAGACATAGCTGGAATTATTTGAAGTTAACAGATAATGATGATTCACCCATTAAGCCTGCATTCCTCTGAAGTTAATTCACAGAAAAAATATTCTTTCTCTTTGAAAAGGGAGAGCTCTGGTAGTGATTTATGGCACATTGACTTTGCAGGTGTGTAGAGGCAGTGTTATCCTTTATTGAGGTAAATGTTGGATTAGGGATACGTTTCTTCTCGGTGCTGGGAATCCCTGATTTGTTTTATGGGCTGGGATGTCCTTGCATACCAAGTGCTCTCCAGAGGTGATGTGCTCTGTGTGACAATTCTGTGAAACTGCTTCCCACTCCTGGTCTTGGCTCTGCTTGCTCTCTCTCTTTCTCTCTCTTTCTCTCTTTCTCGCTTTCTCTCTCTCTCTCTTTCTCTCTCTCTTTCTCCCTTTCTCTCTTTCTCCCTTTCTCTCTTTCTCCCTTTCTCTCTTTCTGTCTGTCTGTCTTTCCTGGGTTTTCTGGCTATAAGAGTTTTTTGGAAGCAATCAATTACTTGATTATTTTCATTTCTGAAAGCATCTGCTGGACAGGTTTTCTGCCATCCCCAGTTCTGGTATCTCAGCTGAATGTTGCTGTGTAAACAGGCCTGTTTTGAAGGCAAATACAGAAACTGATTTGGTTCCAGTTGGAAAAAATCCTCAGTGATGCCTTGACTGGAGCACGTGGAGCCCTCTGATTACATTGGAGGGGTGTTTAGGATGATGCTGATTTTCCTGCTCTCTGCTGGGTGGATTCTTTGGGGGCTGTGATCTAGAGGGTTCCATGGGGGAAAAGAGAAAGGTAGGACTGCCTTTCCTTCTTTGCATGGAGATCTTTGCTTCAGAGAGACACAAACACCTATGGGGCCACCTGCCCACTGTCCTTGGGGGAGAAAACTTGAAGCTCTTCAATCATCTGAAAATAATTGGACCCAATGGCTTTAATCACAGAGGAGCTCTTCAAGGGGTGAAGCAATCCCAGATCCATTAGGAAGTGTATCTGAAATCTTCTAGGCTGAGGGGGAGCCAGTAAACATTGCTAATCTAGTGATTGACAAAAGAGGAGGGAATGGCTGAGCAGGAGAAAAATTCCTGGCCTAAATAAACTATTTTTTGAGCAGCTCCAAGATAATTAACCTCTGACAGGTGGTCAATAAGAGGCAGCATAGTTTTGTCAGAATTAAATTCAGATTAAATCACAGCAATCAGATTTCTGCAGTGCTAATGCCAAAAGTCTTCTTAGAGGGAAAGCAAAGAGAGTTCTAAGCTTGGGTTCCAGCAGAGAGGAAGCTTTTGGCAGCTCTGCTTTTGGCATTCCCATAAGGAGAATAGATAAATTAATATGAGCTGTCTGTGGCTCTCGTCTAAAATGCAAGGCCTCCCTATAATCCTGATTCCTCCAAGGCCTGGTCTAGGGACATTTTTTTGAATGCTAAAATAGCTAACAAGGTACACACTTGCAGATAATACTGGTTTAAAAGGGATACAAGATTAAAATTCTTGATTTTAGCAGAAAATACAGGATTCAGAAGGAAGGTGGCAAGTTTGAAAAGCCATCTGGCCTTAAAGGAGAGCAGGATTCAGGGTGAAGTTAAGCTCTTACCCCTGGGTGGGAGCAATCTGCTCAGAGCCAGGCCAGGGGAAACCCAAGTGCTTCCCATTCTCAGTGCCCACAGCACATCAGATTCCTGCTCTAGGGTTTCAAACACACCAAATGGGATGCAGGCTGGACATGGGGAAGAATCTGTGAGTGGCAAGAAGGGGTGTCACAGTGGAGCTTGCAGGGTAATTGGGGAGGTCTTAATTATTCACTGAGAAGAAAAGTTTCCAGCAGAATTTTTAGCAAGAGGAGAGACAACATCCCTCAGGAGTCATTTTGATTGAGGTCAGCCAGGTTTCAGAGCAGGGAAAGAGGTCAAGGGGCTCTCCAGCTCCAAGGTTTCATCCCTTTCATATGCAGGGACACTAATTTCCAGCTGCATTATGTGTACGGGGAAAGAACTTTTTCCAAACTCCATGTGATTGTGCCCTTTTGCCTCTCTTTTGTAAAAGGATAAATGTGGCTGTTAGAGTGAACATTTTTGTTTCATTTTTTATGATACTGCCAGATGCATTGTTCTGTTTTTCTCTTTTATGCTCTTTGAGAAGTATTTTGCCAGTTTTTTGATGATCTATTAAAATTTCTTAGTGGTCCTAAAAGCTGTGGGTTGTTTTAATCATTTTTCTTGGTTGCTTTATCTGTGAAAGTTTTCTTCTTCTCTGTTTACCTTATTTTTTTTCCCTGTATCAACTTCTCTGTTCTTTTAGTGGCTGTGCATAGTGTTTTCACCTCCATGGGATTACAGGAGAGAGAGGCAATACATGATATAGCTGAGCCATTTTCCTCCATCTTAACTTTTCAGAGAGGAAAGTCAGTACATGATGTAGCTAAGCCAGTTCCTCCATGTCTTTGTGACATGATGATTTCTCTTTCTTCATCTCCTTTTCCCTCATGAACTACTTTTTAAAGGTACCTTCTTTGATATATCTTAAAATTATTTTTAAATGAGTGATGACCATCATTAACTAAAGATCTTGCCCTCTTGACTTGCCCAAGCTTTTCCTACACTTGAGTTGCAGTGGAGTTTCTGTCCTAAAGAACAAACACTGTGGAAATTTCTGGTGTGCTGATCAGGAAATGTGACAGATCCTTCCCACCAAGAGTGTTATTGTTCAAACCAGACCAGAATGGCAAGAACTAGGCCTTGGTGAGCACCAACCATGAAAGCAGATGTTCACACAAGCTGCCAAGTGGGTACAAAATGCTGCTCACACACACATGCACTCTGAAATACTGTAAATATTATCCCAGAGAAAATGATGACAGATTTACATCTGCACAGCCTCACACTGCTACTGTAATGCTTTAATAACAAAAGACTGCAGTGCCCACGGTTTCCTTCCCACTGGAAATGGAGCAGACTGCAGCATATGCTGGCACTGAGAGGAATTAAAAGTGGGCTGACATTCATTATTAACATCTCATTCACAGTTTAAGTATTAAACACAAGAAATTTCCTATTGTTTCTCTGAGAAAGCTAACTGCTTTCTGAGGCTAATGGCAGGAAAATCAGCTTTTTGTGCTGCTGGGCCCTCCCAGGACCTCCAGGCCCTTTGTGGCTTCTGGGCTACCCTGCTGTGGGTTTCAGAGCAACTCAAACATCCTTATTTCACCAAAAAAAAAAAAAAATGCTAACAGTGGTGGCTAGGCCAAGGATACAAAATGTCCTGCTTTTTAGCCAAGTTTCAGATAGTCCTGGGGGATTTGGCAGATTTTGTTGCTGGGGTTTGAGTTGTGTGTGGGTTCTGTGTTTCACCTCTGTGGGTCTCATCACATGAGTGAGGAGGATGCAGGGACAGACAGAATTTGGGTTATTTGGCTTGGAGTCCACAGACCATTGGTGTGCTGGGCTGAAATTGGGGGGTTTGGTAGTGAAACAACAGCACAGTCTGAAGGCACACTATTTCTGTGTAGATAAATAGAGATTCTGTGAAGGGAAGCCTCCTGATTCCGTGCATGGCTCAGACATCACACCAAAGATTTAGCATTTCAGAGCTCTGAAATCAGAGAATTTGGACAAGCAGGATTCTGCTGATAGCCAGTGACAGTGGGATAGCTAGTGCATCAGCATCCCAAAAATCAGTGTAGGATCATTAGCGAAATGCTCATTCACAATCAGTCAAAAAAGGAAAAGAAAACACAGCCTGGTTTTGCATTGCCACAAGAACGTACTCTGAGGGTCTGTAAAGAGTGGTTTCAGCTTCCAGCACTGCTTGCCTCCTTTGGAGATCAGGGTGAGCTGTAGCAGGGAAATAAATGTTTGTGTTGGGATTGCTTTCAGGGCAAGCCTTCAGTGCTCAAATACTTTGTTTAGCACACCAAGTCATTCACTTACCCCTGCATTCATTCAGTCATTCATTCATGCTTTTCTGAAAGGGCTTTGCTGTTCTCTATGTACTGTGAGATCCCTTGGCTCACTTTCCAATTTAGGAAGGGCTCTCACAGAGATTTCAATGACAGCAAACACCACAAACTGCTCCTGCTGCTGCCATACCTGCAGATTTTGGGAGAGTCAAGGACAGAAGCTGCTGAAGTATTATTCACAATGCACAAAACCCTAAAAAATGTTTTCCACATCCTCAGCAAATGACAGCTGTGTTGTGTTTTAGATGCCATTTTGTGTTCTAATCAAAGAAAGGAGGGTATTTCTGGAATTTTCAGTATCAGCACCTCATTTGGCTTGGTTTTTTTTCCCTCTATACTCAGCTAAAATCTGTTGAGCTTTATTATTCTTAAAGAATATTAGGTCTTGCAGCCCAGACTTACATGGGATATTTATATGTGTGGCTTGGATGGCTGCCTATAATCCATACACTTCAAAGTGAATTTCCCAGAACTGGAGACAGTCTTTGGCCTGCAGCATTATGGAAATTTCCTTTTTTTTTCTTTGCATATGAAGGGAGATTTTAGAGCCAGCATTCCTCCCATGGGCTCTTTGCCTGTGCCTCTATAAAGAGGATGTTTCCTTGGACAGTTCTGGAGGTCTCTTCTCACCTCTCTTGGACTGAAAAGTGTTACCTCTGGTAGTTTGTGTCAGAGGAGCCCAAGAGATTGTCTGGGTTGGAGCTGGGAGAGCTTCTGTGGCCTGTCAGGTCAGGGGAGCTCACACAGATTTTTCTGCACTTCATGGCTCTGCTGTCTGAGTGTTCAGAGACACAGGAGAAGTGCAGAAGTGCATTTCCAACCCCCTGATAGCCACCTAAATGTTTATCACATGTACTAGTGTAGGTATAAACATACCCTAGTATAATATACACTATTAAAATATACACTAGTAAAATATGCTCTATGTATAAAACATACACTCTACAAACAGCTGCTGCAGCAAGAGACAAAGAGCTTTAGAAAATCGCCATTAATGAGTTCCTGGTGCCTGGTTTTGTGTTTGGTGTGTGGAATAGAGCCCTGAATGAATCAGGGATCGATTCCATTTGCTCTGATTTAGTTAAATATATCAGGCTGAGCTATAAATACTGCCTGTGAATTCCCCCAGTAGCATTATTTCTCTCTTTGTTTACCATTGCTTTAACTATCCTGTTAGAGATTAGTCACTGCAATGGGGGCTCTAATCAAGGTACCAGGCTCCTAATTGGGTGTGCTGGCTGTCACACAGTGCACTCATTAGCACTCCTGTGCATCCCTGGGCTTCATCTTGGAGCACTTTAACAGGACAAATGGAGAGTCCTTCTCCAGATAAACCCCAGCCAGGGACATGGGACACTTGTCTGAGAGCAGAAATCCAATGTTGAAATCCTTGCTGCACAGCCTTGAGAGGGCCTTTGGAACAGGGCTTTCTTCATCACCCAGATGTCATTAGTCCTATGGAGTTCCCATATTCATCTGGCCTTTCCAAATTTTACTGCTGTTATTAAAATTCAAGGAATGGAAATAAATCAAGGCTTGGGGAGGATTGACTAATCTGCTCTTTTTAATGTGGGTTTTTTTTAATGTTAACCTGGAATTCTTAACTACAGGTGGACTTTAAAAATTATTCATACACATGGCAGGAGTTTGAAGGGATTCAAAGCACCTGCATTCACATCACTTAAGGGGGGAATATTCTATCAGCCCAAGTTCATTGAAAACTTGCTGGAGGTTCATCTGGAACTGCTGGCTCCTTCACCTGGCTGCTCTGCCTTGGTTTTCAGTCTCAGCAGATTCTGGAATGCACTTGCAGCAGGTAAAAGAATGCCCTGGTGTATTATCAGTATTAATAAACTTCCTCTATAAATAAAAATGCTTGTAGGTGATCTCTAAATAGTCCAGCAGAGAATATTCATTAGGTGAAAAAATAGGAACCTAAAACCTGTGAGTGTTTGGAAGGCTTAAACACTTAGAGATATTTGCATAAAGCCCCTACACAAATCCTACCCTGCAGAGCATTATTCTGACACTATTCCAGTTGCAAATTCCACGTTGGATTTATTTAAGGCATTATCTGCACCATCAGAGGGAATGGAGGAGACAGCAGATACACAGGGGAAGCAAAGTGTGGCAGTGAGGGGGGCCAAGGTTGGGGACAGGGAACAGGTAAGAG